CCCCAAAACCCCAAAACCCCAAAACCCCAAAACCCCAAAACCCCAAAACCCCAAGTAAGTAAGTTCTGATATATAATATTTTAAACAAGGAATCAATTAAAAATGCAGGACTATATTATTGCTGCTATTTTCATTGCTGTCGGTATATACTTCTTCTTCCTCAGGAAGTCAGAGGATGAAATGAACCTCGAAGAAGGTGACATGATTGTCGACCCAACCTCCCTGAAGGCCGCTGGTGAGGAAGAACTAGATCCAAGCATCACTAAAGAGTATAATGTTCCTAAAGGAGATTTATCAAATCTGACTGTACCAGAAAATTTTCCACAAGAAATCGAAATTTACTTCGGCTCTCAAACTGGAACTGCTGAAAAGTTCTCCAGAATCCTTGAAGAGGAGGGAAATGACCTTGGGATCATAGCAAAAGTTGTAGATATGGAAGACTTCGACAAGGAGGAGTTCAAAGATGTTGAGCTCGCCATTTTAGTTGTTGCCACTCATGGTGAAGGAGATCCTACTGACAACGCCCTCAGAATGCATACCTGGCTCAAGAAAAATGCTAAGAGTAAAGAGTCAGATCTTATCAAAGGAGTCAACTATTGCGTATTTGCTCTTGGAGATAGTGAATACGAAAAATATTGTGCTTCCGGAATCTTTTTCGATCAAAAGTTAGAAATTATTGGAGGAAAGAGAGTATTTGAACTTGGTACAGGAGACGCCACAAATGATCTTGAAACTGATTTTGCTACATGGAAGACCAAACTATGGCCAGCACTGATTGAGCACTGGGAGAAGCTAGGACCAGTCGAAGGAATGAAGAAAAAGGCTTCATCAAAGCCTAAAAAGCCAAAGGTTAAATATCCACTAGTAATGGGGGATCCAGAAGAAGTAAATGAAGAGCATCCTATCCAACCATTATGCATCAGACAATATGTAGGAGGTAAAGATGTTAAGATCCACTCTATGAGAGAGTTGAGACAAACTAGCAAATATGGATCATGCTTGGAGATCATATATGACTTAGAAGGAACTGGAATAGAGTACCAGACAGCAGCCAACTTAGCAGTCTTTCCAGAAAACAACGAGAGTGACGTGGAAAGAATAGTGAATAGATTTAATCTTGTAAAGGATAAAAGCTTTGTCTTTAAAAATGCGGAAGGGGATGATGAGAAGAGAAAGCATCCATTCCCAACTCCATGAACTGTTGGTGAGGCATTAACTAAGTATTGCGAGCTTAGAGGTCCACTAGATAGAAAGATTTTCAAAGACTTAAGCCAATACGCTACAGAAGAAGAGGATAAAAAGGAATTAGAGCGTCTTAGTGGAAATGACGCTGGTGCGGATATTGAAACAATGAAGCAAGAGTTTACCAATATTATAGACATAGTTGAAGAGTATAAGTCAATCGATATCCCATGTGCTGTTCTCCTTCAACTTCTTCCAAAGATGATGCCTAGATACTACACTATTGCTTCAAGTGCAAAGTTAAGTCCGACTAAAGTCAGAATCGCCATCAGTTTGAGCAACTATAAGTCTCCTAAAGGGAAAGAATTCTTTGGAATAACTTCTGAATATCTGAATAGGATTTTTAAAAGTGGATTTGATACTGGCTCTTCTCCAGAAGTAGTCTCCAGAATATTTATTAAAGACTCTCTCTTCAAGTATCCTGAAGATCCTGCTACTCCAGTAGTCATGGTCGGTCCTGGAACTGGTGTTGTCCCCTTCATTGCATTTGCTGAAGAGCGTCAAGAACTTATCGCCCAAAATCCAGATGTCGAGCTCGGCTCTGCCACTCTCTACTTCGGTTGCAAAGAAGATAATGAGGACTACATCTACAAGGATGAATTACTCCAATACAGGGAGGATAACAGAATCACTAAGGTCTACGAGGCTTTCTCTAGACAACAAGAAAAGAAGGTATATGTACAAGACCTTATTAGAGAAAACTTCGATGAAATCAGAGAAGCCATCGTCAACAAGAACGGTCAGTTCTTCATCTGAGGAGCTATGGAGATGGGTAAGGCAGTTGAAAAGATACTAGAAGAGATCCTTGGCGAAGAAGGAGAAGAATACTTGAAACAGATGAAGAATCAGAAGAGATTTGCTAAAGAGCTTTGGAGTGCATAGTAGGATTAGTACTATTTCTATTAGAATAATGTTGTGTGGGGTTTTGGGGTTTTGGGGTTTTGGGGTTTTGGGGTTTTGGGG